AAATTTTAATTAATTAATTAATTAATTGGATCCGGATCACCACCAAAATCTAATCAATTCGAAGTTAGCCCATTTCTGACCTCTCCTGAAAATTTTATGACAATCCGTCCGATAACTTTTTAATTAAGCTGTACACTAACAAACAAACGCCACAACCCCACAAACCAACAAACACACCCCGCGTGAAAACATAACTTCCTGCCAACCCCCGCCGGCGTAGGTAACTACTGGAATAAATCCATAACTTTAAACGCTGGTACCAGTTTTCCCTACACGTCTACAACTCCGATATAGCGACCTTCAGTTCTCCTCATGTGAGAGCGTTATATGTATGTTAATATGTATATGCTGTATGTATAGATTGTATCTATCTAAGCGGTCACGCATTCAATTGTCAGTCTCTCTACGGATCAAGCAGCAGTAAGCATTTTTTTCACGGACTACCCTCGCTAACTAATAGCTTGCAGGCGTACTCTCACAGTACAATACTCTCCACAGCTTACTATTCCTGGGCTAAGTTCGACTCCAACAGGCACTTTGGACAGAGTCAGTAAAAACTGAAAATAATATGAACGCACATCCACAAATACTACCGTACCTCTCAATTACAGTTTCCACTGTTGTTGTCACTGTATATCAACTTTCCTTCATAAAAACTAACGCCGAATGCTCCCGCAATCGCCGCTGTGAGTGTGCTGTGTAGCCATTATAATAATAATAATATATAACGATATATAAAAGATATAACTTTATATTATTATATATTATTATCATTATAATGGTGACACAGCACACTCGCAGCGGCGAGTGCCGGAGCGTTAGGCGTTAGTTTTTATGAAGAAAGTTGATATACAGTGACACACAGTGGGAACTGTAATTGAGAGGTACGGTAGCCTAGTATTTTATGAATGTGCGTTCATATTATTTCAGTTTTTACTCGACTCTGTCTCAAGTGCCTGTGTGCGACTTCAACGTGCGTAGGCGCGCGCGTATTGACCAGCGAGAAAAAAAAACGACTGCGTAGGAAAGAAAACGCATGAAATGGCCTGATTTTAATTGCGTGATTGGTGGAATTCCGAAACGCCGATGCGCGCAGCTTCCATGCGCGCGCAATCGAGAGCTGCCCAGCATTCCCGCCGACCCCTCGGGCACGAATCACCCGGACGCATCACCATGCGATCATCGAATTTCCCGTGCTAAATACACAACAAAACTACTAGGGTTTTTTGCAGGAGGCGTGTCGCCGACCCACGACCCAAGCGGGTCACGCACGCCCACACACACACGCACACATGTTAGTTAATACACACACACACACACACAACACACATATATATCTATTATATATATACTAGCCGGTGATTCTACGAAGTTATCGGATACATTTCCGGCGAGTCGAAGATCCCTTCGCTTGTGAATCCGCGCAAGAACAGCCCAATCCGCGCGCAGGAAGGGGTGCGCAAGGACAGGATCGTCGCATTGAATAGGATGAAGTCGTTTCCGAATGAATGACAAATGGTGCTGTCACTTTTATTTTTGGTCGTATTCAAAGGAAACAACGAAAAAAAAAATACAAGAATAAGCGGTATAGAGGCCAAATAAATTATTAACGATAATTCTCAGTGACCAAAACGCATGGGGGTTTTCAAAAAGTCAATAGATAGCATCATAGTCATAGGAGGCGATAAAGATTAACTATATATTTAGTGGGGACAATGTTAAAGAAAGTATGGTTGCCCTGCGGAACAAGATAACTAGAAATAGTGAGATTACAGCAAGATGAGGGGGGAGGCGAGGGAGTGCAGAAGATAGAAGGAGAGAAGAAGAGAGGGAGAAAGAGACGTGAGAAAGTAGGAGAGGAGAGGGAGAGGCAAGAGGTAAAGAGAGAGAGCGAGAGCGAGACAAAGATGAGAACAACTGTAAAGATGGAGGGGCGAGAGACAGAACGAGAGCGGAGAGACAGATGTACGAGAGAGAAAGAGAGGAAGGGCCAGAAAAGAAGAAGATGAAGATGGGAGATGGAGGAGGAGATGGATGAGAAGAAAGAAAGACAGAGCAGACACAGAGAGAAGAGAGAGCAGAGAGTGGGGAGTGAGAGAAACCACCCTACCGCCAATTACCAGCTCAATTCTAGATTCATTAATTCTCGCAGCACGTTCATTCGCCATCTTCAATTTTCAACTCTCACTTTTCACCGCTATCTCAACCCGCTTAACCTGATCATCCTGAACGTATATATAAACTGGTCTCTGTGATCTCGGCGAATCACGGCCACTACACACTCAGTCTTAATCCCTTCCCCCCCTCTCTGCAGATCCGCATTCTTCCTATGTCTCGTGGCTGCTGGCCACAGCGGTCTTACGCGCACCCCTACACAGGCGGGGTCTGCTGCCGGGTGAATGCCACGTGGGTGTGGGCGCGTTCGCAGAGCCATGAGCCAAATGTGTGCGGCGACTACACACTTCGAGCCGACGATGAGTCGCGCGCTACCACGGCCAAACGCCCTATACCTGTGCGCGGCGGGCTCATGCTGGGCCTGCCCGAGATCAGCGGCATCGTGCGGATAGGCGGTCACCTGGAGCCGATCGGGTCGACATCGCCGGCGTACGAGTTACGTGAAGAGGGTGTCCACATCTCAATCTGAAAACACTTGTCCATTCATACATGAAAATTCTTTTTTTTTTATTAGATTTGCAGGTGATACCCCACATAAAATGAATTGATATCAGAAATGTATTTCGTCAGTTATCAGGAATTATTAATATTGACAAAAACAACATTACTTTGCTCCCCAAGGCTATAAATCAGTCACTGATATAGTGCTGCCACCTATAGACGAACTTTTTTTTATAATTGGAGAATTTTCTGGATCATATCACAAGTAATACAAAACAAGTTTCACTGGATACTGGATGCTGGCAATTATAGATAACTCTACACGAGAATCATCAAATATTAAAAACATCGCACCTGCTTGTAGCCTAGTTTCCTTTCCTCCTTTGGCATTGATGTCGGCGCCACGAGCAACGGCAGAGCAGCAGATAATAAATCACAGCAGAGAGCGCTCAAGAACTCGCCGATGTCGTACTGCTCGCTCATCAGCTGCAGTTCAGCGACAAGCTGTGGCTGTTCAGCCAGCTTCTCCACAACCCTGCAGCGAGGCATCGAATAGCCATCTATATATTATTACTCTTTTATTATATATATACATTGTAACATGTATATATCTATTTATATTATCTCTATATTATCTCTATTCATTAGCTCTCATCATTGCTTTTACAACAATTACAACGAACATCACTTTAGAAGCCAATGCGCACGTGACATTTATGGAATCCCTCCGCAAGAAGAATTCCAATAGTATCATCACTTTTTTTCTTTGGTAATGCACCAAAAATGTCTACATTTATGTCTGATTGCTGTACTAATTCACAGCTAAAAGTTAAATGGTACATATGCACATCACGTGCCTTGATATCACACTGTAGTGCTTCTGTTGTTTGTAGCTACAAGTAAACATCTGACATTGTTAATCTAGGTAGCAATTCTCACCTGTCAGGGATCTTCTTCATTTTCTGCAGTTGAAAAATGACAACAATGCAGCCCAACGCTTCCATCGTCTGATTTGCCATCATTCCCTGAAAAATTGCATTGACATTAATAAACTCATACTAAACTCTAATATATCGACATTTTAAGCAGTTTTGATCTGTTTTAATCTGTTCTGCCATCATTCCCTGAAAAATGACACTAGCATTAATAAACTCCCACCAAACTCGAATATATCGACATTTTAAGCAGTTTTAAATAGACATTGAGCATAGTCACCGCAATGAACAGCGACTGGCCTATACAATTTACTCATAACAAAACCAAGACGTGTATCTATCTGGGAAAGTGTCAGTGAGAGGCTACCATTTACGAGTCATTCAATCGTTAATGTCGTATCACAGCATTGTCGCTTTATACTCAGTTCTTGAGGTGCTAAAGCTACTCATATACCTTCATCAGTTTAGCAGCTATTACCAATCAATACATCATATATTCATTAACTAGCCATGAACAAATTAAGTAAGCTAAAATATTTTTTATACTTATCCGTATCTAATCAGGCTCCCGAGAAGCTTATCCTTATCTAAGGAGACTCCGGAGCAGCAAATATTTCAACAGCATACATTTTACATATTACTTTCACGTTTAACTCAAAAACTTTTAATTCAATGGAGAATGTAAGCTTAAATTCCTACATAAATACGGTCGTGACACACTGACCAAGGTTTTACCGACGAATAACAGAAATAAAGGGTACCCGCGCATTCCCGTAAGCACGTGCCATTCCCGTAAACTCCGTCACCCACCTTGCAAACATCGGCCAGCAGATTTCGAACGACCTTCTGGTCCAAGGTCGCGACCTTCGCCAGCTGGCTGAGGATGAGGTAGGTGGCGGCCGTGTAGTCCTTCAGACCCGACCTGAGGCCCTTGACGAGAAACGGGACGAGCTGCGCAACAAGCTCGTTACTGACTTTGGAGAGAGAGTGGAGCGTCTGGACGATCGTCGACGCGTAGAATGAAAACAGCACCCGCATACTTGTCGTCGTTGCCTTGTAGCCGTAGACCTGCCAGAGATCGATCGATAAACCACCGTCGAGTCAATGTTTGCGTAATTAGAACCTTTCGATACAAAAGCGACAATAAGATGCGTAAAACATTCATGGTAATTAAATTATGTGTGTACGACTAATGAGACAAATTTTTTTTTCTCAAAGTGCAACATGGATCAGGTAAGAGGCATACACACTGTAATAAAGTCTGTAATTTACTTAACTTACTGTAAATACAGTGTAATAAAGTCTATATTTCACTTATAGAGATCACATATTTTCATCTAGAATACCTTCAGTGCTGTAGGGACCATATCGCAAACAAAGGAAAGGAATCCCAGGTCCTTGCTGCAATATCTGACCAATGATTTTTTATCCAGTGGTACGCCTGCTTTCTGTAAACAAATTTGCATTGCTTACCTTATATACAACAATACTAACCATTAAACACATTTATACAAAGTACACAAATGAAAACAAGTTTTTAGTTAATAAAAATTCATGATCTAGCCATGAGCAAAGTAATTAAAAATCTTTTTATATCGATATCTAAGTAGACTCACGGGATGCTAATATTTAAACAACATATATGTATAGCTGTATACCGCTTTAATTTTACTTCCACATCTAACTTCTGAATGAATTGGGTATGCACGACAAAATCCCTACAGAAAAACGGTCATGGGACACTCAATAAGATTTGCCAATGAATAACAGCAAACACCATTTTAGTCGGATCAGCCATCACTAATTTTCTAAACGCGATTGCAAATACTCGATCGTCATTAAACCTTTATGAAAGTCCAACTGCTGCAGAGCTTGGCAATCATCTATTCAGCTTGATACCAAATCAACTACACCTACTTGCAATGGTGCCAACCACGCCCATCTGTTGCGTGGCGTGTCCAACTTTAAAAGCTGGACGACCTTCACAAACATGTTCGCGTCGTGGTAGGGCAAGACGCATCGCATCAAGTCGTCGACGTTGTACACGTGAATGTGGAACCTGAAACGACGCAGATCGTTAGCAGGTGAGATTACAGTGACTATACGGGTGCAACTAACACTGGACCGCAAGCATAATAAATTCATGCTTAACTATCTCTTTCACATATCGCGTCCATATCTCAGTGCTCACTTGGCATCTAGACCATGCCTCGCCACTACACAGTATGATACGAGGTCACTAGACACTATACCACAAAACTCCCCTTTGCTCCAAGACACTAGAACATACAATACCACATAATGTGGTAGAACATCCCTTCACACCTTTCGTCTGTGCGACACAACACTACACTACGACAACACTACAATACGACACACCTCAGAAGATCAGTGTACAGTTTACAGCACACAGGAAATGCTATGCCATACAACTCCCCTTGCCACACCACACCATAACATACCACGCTGCATAATATGATTTAGCACATTTCTCCTAATCACTCTTCTACTCCGCAACACTGCACCATGCAACAAGCCACATTCTGACTCACGCACCTGTGAATCAGCCACTCCAGGCATTTGTGTGCCGGCTTCAGCAGAAAGTACGGGGACAGACGGACGAGAAAGTTGGCTATATTGCGATTCAGCTCGTGGTTGACATCCTTCGCTTGAATGCTTCTCTCCAGAGTCTTAGACGACGAGTGGAAAATACTCCTCTCGAACTTCAGGAACGATGGATCGATCAATGCCAGCTCCTCAAGACCAATACACCCTGAAAGGTACAAAGGAAATTATTGAACATGACAATAACTGTGCATCACTACAATACAATCTGCACAGTTAGAGAACAACTGCTTGCAATACTTTTCTATCTAGTCAGTGCTTACTGATACACGATGTACATGGTGTAATATAATACAATTATGAATAGAGTAAAAATGACTTAATCAATTGAATAATTCATAAAGTAAGAATAACTTACCAAGTGAGTAAACAGTGTCTCTGTCTAGATTTGCTGCTTCTTTCAGATCAAACAGCAATGAAGCCCTTTGTTTATCACTTCTAAGGTGATCTGCTTGTACCTGAGCTTGAGGCTTAACAGCCAACCGCTTCAGCTGTGTAGCCAATGACGTCATACTGCTGGGGCAATCCCACCCTTACGTAGTGATACCGACCTACAAACAGAAGTAAAAAAACTGGTAAATGATTTTGTACTATCTCGATGTATGTCTATATAAAATCGCAGCATTAATTGGGTCAAAAATTTGAACCTAACTAGCAATAAGAGCAGAAACAAAAGTAACACACGGTATGATATAAAGCTGTTTCGTAGGAACATTGAATATCATTAATGCTATCGAATCTCCACTTTCAAAAGAAATAATATGACATTGAATTTCTATGTTCAATATTGTCCTCAAACTTTATGGAAAACATTAGGTTCACATATTTAACCACTATTATATTGAGATAATTAAGTAGATCTATGCATAAATAAATTAAGACCCTCTCCCAACTGTGTGCAGACATGGATACCCAACATTTATAGGGTTAAGTAGAGTTACACAATCAATCCAAGATGTTTGATCTCACAGTCCATTCCCAATATCCAGTAGTTGTTCCATTTTAACCCAGTGAAAAAATCAGTGATCTGCCCAAATGAATATGCAAGAATAATAGATTTGTGTGATCATCTGAATCATATGATACGCTAAATCCAATAACATAACCCACCACAGGAGTAAAGTAGAGTCTACTTTTGTGTTGGGTTACATTGCATTGGTGTACCTAATAATCCACCCAATCAAATGCACGTGGCACAGGATTAATAGATCGGTGTGATTGAATCGTTCGATCATGATCTCCGCTAGTCCGAGCCAACGCAGACCCCAGTAATGGGGTCTGCAGCCGTGTCTATCTCAATCACGGAAAGACACCTCCAGTTTGGAGGTGGCACTTATAAGTAATATATGCGCCCGATATATACAATCCTATTGCGTAGAACTTATTTTAATCTGAACTTGAATCATTTATCTACGTGCATGCACGCTATGATGTCCTGGTAGCAGCCACAACATAAGAATATATCAAGTTGTTAACCTAATGGTAAATATAAACATCATACCAAAATGGTCTGTCTTCATTCACATTTGTCAACCAATGAAAATCACTTCCGGTTACTTCGGCCATTCCCGATGTTCAAATATAGTCCGTGTCATCTATGGTCCGGTTAATCTTAATTATTTCCGAGTGAACCCGAAACTACCGGAAGCAAATTTCATTGGCCGATCAAAATGAATATATGGCCAAAAATATCGAAGTTACTCTTACTAGGATGAATTATTGCATGAAAACAAAGTTCTGAAACGGAGATAAAGTCTTCGGAAAGCGATATTGACAAACAGAAGGTCTGTATTTGATATTTTGGGTCGAATATACCCCCGTCACGCCCTCAGTGCTACTCGATTCACCTATCCAATGCCCACAACAAAAATTGCAAAAATTTTTACAAGGGTGACTGCAGACGATAAACCCGCACCCTCAGATTAGCAAAGCGGAGTTATAACGTCTGCATTTGCAGACTAGATCTCAGCCTGATCTGCCCAACACCTAGTACTACACACGTTTAGGATCCGTTAGTTATTTACTATGGACCGTTGAGTAATTGTCAAGAGTGACAGATCGAAGTAACCATATACTAGATGTAGATACACTTACCGTAAGCTGATAACTATATAACAATTAATTTTGCTCACTACATACCTACTACTGCTACTCTCCATACACCGATAATGATTAATACACTGCATGCCAATCACACA